CTTACAAAAAAGGTCCATTTTTCCTTCATAAAAGCTTCAAAGAAACCAAGAATTCTTTTTCTATAACTCGTGTGCTTTTCAGTATTTTCACAACATTTAACAGCTCAATTTCCTCCAAATTCCGCAGAGATAAATTTTCACTCTTTTTCCTTAACTTACTTGCTTGTCTTTCAAAATGAAAACTTCATTAGTTCAGATATACCACTGTACTTTTTATTCCATGGATTTGAATCTCAAATGCTCGTACTTACCATTTTCCTTTACTCTTGCCACTATTCCCTCAGGGCTCCAAGCCAGTTTTCCAATCTCTTTCTTCAGGGCTGGCCTAAGCCACTCTGGTGCCCCGGGCGCGCTTGGCATCGTCCCCCTGGGCACGCAGCACATATGCGGCCCCGGCGCGTGGCACATGCATGGCTTCACCCCCACTCGGCCTAGCAGCACCGCGAGGCGCCCCTCACAATCGGGCACCCCGGGCTGTTGCCTGGTCAGCCCATAACTTGGGCCGGTTCTGTCTCTCTTGTTTGCCTGCCTGCTTGTCTGGGTCTGAATGGCCACTTTCCAGGGCCATAAGCTTTCTTTCACTACCAGTTTAGCAAGGAGGGTGGGCTCCTCAACTAGCCTTCACGCCTCCTTATCCTTTTTCTTTAACATTTTAGACATCTATTGTTTATCAACTTCTCACTCTAGTTTACCCAGTTAGCTGTTGGCACTTACCAATATTTCTTAACATCACTAACAATATTTTCAAGACACAGTATACAATCAAATACAGAAAACCTGTACCACAGCACAGGAAAGGGATCCTAAATCCTTTCCCATTTCTCAGGACTCTACAGCCAAGGGTATCTATACCAATATACTATGCCTGTAGTCTGTGGATGAGGATATTAATACCTAAAAATGATGTTTTCTTTATTTATTTTTTAATAGCCTCACACTGTGAGGGGGAAGCAAGTAATCTAATCCTCCCTCCTAGCTCAGGTCTGCTACCGCTAGAGGTGTGCCACACCTCAGTGATCAATCACTTTTCAATATTCCTCAATTTCTTTCAGTACTCTCA